CTGCAGAGGCCTCAACCACAGGGCTTTGCCTCCTTCCTGGCATTTCAGTAGATCATCTCTATGCTTTGCCATCGCCTTGAGATTAAGCTTGTTTTACTACAAATTCAGCTGATATTTGCTCTGTGTTCAACTGGCACTGCTCATGTCTGTGTTACAACACACAGCAATTATTTCCTAAAAAGTTGCAGGATGGCTCAGCTGCATTTTTACCGCTCAGCCCTGAAAGCAGGATCGAGGGGAGAGCTAATGCTTAGTGGAACCTTTCCTTGAATTAAAAACCCTTCATATACGTTAGTGAAGCTGCTCGGGCTGTCTAGTTTCTGGGAATCAATAACAGCAATGACATGCCTAGGGGAACATTCCCAATGGCTGTAAGAAAGAAAAAGCAGCATTAGTGGACCTAAAATTAGACTGACATGCAATACTTAGGGGCACACGTACGCTTTTCCGCTCCAGCCCAGAGAACAGGTAGGACACTACATTTTTGGAAGTGTCTAGTTCCAAGTGCCAGAGAGTCAGAAATGTTGATAGCTTTTGAAGTATGGTAGCAGCAGCTGGCAGAAAGGAGCCCGGGGCGCAACACAGCTCCTTTTCAAAGCACCAGTCCCTCTTTTGAGTCACTGCATGGTGCTGGCATAAAATGATCTCAGGAAACAGCAGAGCCCCAAAGACAAATGGTGCAAGAGACGAAAGATCTGGAAGGAAGGAGCAGCAGGAGTGAGAGCAACAGCTTCTTTCTCCCTCACCCCAGAAGAACTGGTTGCAGCTAAGTGTGATGTGGACAGAGAAGGAACAGGATTGCCATTCCTTTCCCCAGTTAAAACTGATTGATTATACACTAATAGCAAAAAAAAAAAAAAGAGAGGCCAATCCCCGCCCCAACCCAGTTTTGAACATGTTCCACACCAACTTCAAAACTCGGGAAAGAAACAATGAGGGTCAATTTTCTGGAGGTGGAACAGGAAAGAAAAAGCAGAAGGCATCAGGGACACAAGCACAGGACTCCCGGGACAAGAGCCATCGAGGGCTATCTGGTAAGGCAGTACCTGGACGGCACAGAGAACCTCCCACCGGGCAGCCAGCGGATGGTAGGAACACAAAGATAAAAGCTGGTATACATCATATTTAATGAGAGTTTTGCCCCACTGGCTCTCAGGAAGGACAGCTGCTCTCTTCAACAGCATCTCATCCCACGGGGGGCTCAGCAGTACGACTTGGAAACACTGTGATCTAGGCTTGAAGATTAGTGCCCATGCAACACCATCTTTTCTGACTGCAAGCTGGAGAACAGAGTAACTGACAAACCATCTTAAGAAAATGATTTTTATTTCTTTTTTTTTTAATTTCTTTTTTTTTCTCCTTTTTTTGAAGTGCTGATGTTTACAGATATGCTTTTATTTCTGATAATATAGCTTCGCAGCAATAAAAAAAAAAAAAAATCACAATGCAGCTAGCAGAGCAGCTGAACTAAGACCCATAAATACCAGCACAGAAAACAATGGACAACCACCAATACTTCTATACATGAACTATTATTTTAATGTCACATTTTGACAGTTGTAAATGGTCTACAGAACGTATGTGGGCAAAAGGCAATAAGTGAGTCTTTTGAAACACTAGATGTATAATAAACAGCGCATTATCAACATTTACATGATTCACATCAAATTGATGACATCCTAAATGTATTCCTTTTAAAGGATAGAGATTTTTCAATAAAATATTACATTTCATTTAATACTCTGGTACAATACTTCATACACTGCAGGAAAAAAAATAAATGCAAGGTCTACTCCACCTAATAAAGAGGATCCTTTTTCATTAGTCTTTAGTACTGTAATAAAAAAAAAATCACAATAATGTCATAAACAGGCTTGAAATTATTAATTACGTTTCACTGTTTAAAAGGGAGAAATTAAAAATTAATTTGAAATAATGAAGTTATGGGTAGAAAATCAAAACCTGACAACACATCCTAGTACCAGCTGTGATTTTTCCCATCCCTACAACAAAAAAGGAAACAGGTTTTATAACTTCGTTAGCCATATCCTAGTTAATTGTGTTTCAAACACATATCTTAAGAGGAAAAAAATAAAGTTTGGTGAGGATTAATAGGAGAACCAATCAGTCCTAACAACAGTTAGCTGAAATTAAAGTGTATGCTATAAAACATTCAGTAAATGAAGTCTGCAGCAAATTCATGCTGGCATAAATTATTGTGCCTTAGGAGTTGGGTTAAAGTTTCCCTTGTGGTATAAAGTCTTCTACAACAGAACACTGCAGAACTGCATCCCTTTTCCATTCCATTGATACAGCAAAAGCTTGTAAATCAATGCTTAAAATTTATTCTCTAAAAACTCACTAGAAATACATGAAACCCACACTCACTTATCTCCCCTGAACCAAAGGACATTTCTCTTTCTTGCTTCATCTGTCACAAACCCCAGCCATTGTTTAAAATAACTTTTAAAAAATGCTTTAAGAATCATCCCTCTCTTGCCGGTGCATGAAAGGCAGACAGATTTTATTTTGCAAGGTCTCCCCTTTGGTGTTCAGCAGAAATACTCCAGTTAAGATAGGAGTATTTGTTCACAATCTTTCAGATTCTGTTCCCCCCGCATTGACATTCTTCCACCATATGCTCCCCAGGATTAATACACATTCTGCAGTAAGAATTCCCTGGTTCCAAGAAGAAGAAAAAAAAAAAAATCCTACAGCGGCAGGTTCTAAACAGCTAAAATGAGGTCAAAAGAGGCAACTTTATGTTGGCCATGTAACTGATTGCTGCTTATACAGGTCAATCTTTTAAGACACATCACATTAACTGAGTTCCTAACAGAGTTCAGATTCATTCAGGATCCGATCCTTCTCTCATTTCTCTTGACTTTCCCCCTGACTTTTCAGTTTGGTGCAGAATAGCTCCAAACCTGAACATGTGTTCCACCTTGCTATAACGTATGAAGTGTAGAATTTGTCTAACTTTGCACAAAGTTTTAGACAAATATTTAATTGCTATCAATTGCTCTACACAAATACCAATGCTTATAACTGATCCCTGTTC